GAATATAACACCGCACACTGGAGGAAACAGCTGTAATAGTCACGAGTGATGCTCAGCTCAGCTGTTTCCTCCAGTGTGCACTGGGCTTTCAACTTCCTTGAGAACCAAGAACAATAGGTAGTATAACAATGAAACTGTGTAAACATAACCTAAATTGTGATGATCACATGATATTGAATAGAAAGTTCCATTTCCCAAGAGTACAATGGAATGCATTGTGTATTTAAATTTGATTCATAGAGTATGTTTGTTATCTAATAAATTCTTGTTCAAAAGTGACAGTGTATTTTGGTATTATTATATAAAACAAATAATGAATGTTTATAAGAGCAATAATAAAAATATTTTCACTTGGTGTAAGAGGAAATATTCCATTTAACTCTGCTATTACCTCGTTGAATTGAGCATTTTATCTTTCTCCTTGTGAGAATATTCTTACCATTGCTCTCATAAACATTCATTATTTGTCTAATGTTGCATGGTGGAAATTATACATCAAAGCTATGGAGTTTATATTTTTGGGAATATTTTGAACCTTTTGAAAAAAAGGAGTGCAATCTCAGTAGTGATTTAATTAAAAGAACAGTGATTATTAATAGAAATGCTAGCTATCGCTGACAGCCGGCTGCTATATTTTAACTCTGTTAATGCACCAGTCAGTGGAAAGCCCCGCACCCCCCTACCCGGGGAACAGCGGGGCATTAGACCAAGGCCTTGTTCTATTTCACTCTAATGCCCCGCTATACGGGCCATTCTTACTCTTCTAAACATGAATAATGCCCCCGCCCTACGGGGCCCGACGTGGCGACGTCCAATTCTTAATAAGAATATCAATTATCTAGACCTGTTCGATAAATACCACAATGCAATGGTAGACATCTAACTGGATTCTTTTCAGGTTAAATTGGTTTTGTTCATTGTTCCAAGCTTTAGTTTTTTCAGTAAAATTTAATTAAATAAAATGAAGTTAAGGCTATTAAATGTGTGAATAATATGCATTGTCATAATTTATGCATGTCTATTGTCTATATATACTAGCACATATCTAATGGAACTGTCCATTAAGCAACTGCCACTTAAAATGGCATGTGGCAACCTCATTTTCTAGGTAATCAGAACTGGCAACAATTTATACTATACAGTACGATTTCCAGTACGAGACTGTACACGGCTTGTGAATTGTGGAAAAAATATTTAGTTACTTAATTAACTGAAGAAACAGACTTGCACAACTAGTGGTAAACCCCCAGGGTAACCAGCTTCTATATTTAAAAGCTCTGACTGGTGGTGAGAAAAACTTTCACAATCACTGAATCACAGTCAGGGACTTGTTATAAATTAAACAGATATTTAAAACAAATTAAAGACGAACAGAGAAAACCCAGATGGCTGATTGGCTTCTTCATTGAATATAAATATTATAAAACTTGAAAAAATGGAACATCAAAACGGTTTACAATCACTTGCCTTTGGAAGAAACAAAACGCTAACCTAACATATGAATGTTTGTCATTTTTCATTTAACCCTTTATTTGAAAACGAACTGACAACAATCTTGTGTTATTAGGTTAGCGTTTTGTTTCCTCCAAAGTAATTATCTGTTCCAAGTAATATCTATGAATACAGTATCCGAGACAGTATCTATAATACGACTATTTAAAACGGTTTACGGAAAATCTATCTGATCACAGTCATTGCAAAACCAATTGCCTGCAGGAGCTTCAGACAATCCTACGCAATCAAAATGGAACCACACTATCTTGCAGGCTGGGTTGTCACATGCAACCATCTCACCATACTCCTCTTTTGCACACCAGCAGTAGACATCTTTTCTGGGCTCATTTATAACAGACGATTTTTCTTTTTGTGCCTTCTCTACAAAATAACCAAAGGTAATTTTCAAGTGCCGCAATTACATACTGTATTAACTTAAGAAAACAAAACATATGGAGAATAAGAGTGCTAATTTGATATGCAGTAAAAGTACAATCTACCTTTTGAACGCAGCTGCCTGGTTGCTTTTGCTTTTTTCACCCCCTCAGCTCTCCTTTCCTCAATTCCTTTTAGATGCTGCAGCCAAAAGGAGATGTCACATTCGGGTAGAAGCGTTTGTTTTGCCAGATCTTTGATATGTCTCGCTGAGAGGGTCGTTTTCTGTTTCCTAGATAAATCAAACGCTTTCTTGATAACCTCTGAAGGAGGGTTAAGCATGCAATCTTTATAGCCATTCTTTTGAATATGTTCAAGAGATTCAGCAGGAGCCATGAAGTGTCCATGACAACCGGATGTACACTTTGCACAATTACCTCCCCAGGGACGGGCAGGATCTGGAATAGGTAAGGGTATATCGACCAAGGATGGTCCGTTTTCAAACCACTTCATTTCTTCTTGAGGTTTTCCACGTTGACATACTGGATGAACACAGTCACTCTTGTAGCAAGGTAACAGAAAGAAAATGTATTTCTCTGGTAGGTTTTTCACCATATGCTGTTTCCGTAAGTCCCAAATCTTCTTAAAGTAATTGTATTCATCTGGTTTCTTTGCTTGTAACTCTGCTTGCAATTTTTTGCTGCCTTTGAGGAATGTCAACAAATCTTGGCGTCGATCTTGCAGTTGGTTGGCACGTTCATCTTTCGCTCCCTTAAAAAGGGTGATGGGACTTTTCCCACAAGGTGCTCCGTTCACACGATCAATGTAGACATTAATAGCCATATCCAAGTTCGTCAACAATCGTTCAGTATCAAGTCCTGTAGAAGAATTGTTCGAACCTGTCAATGTGGACGGTATGAACAAGTTGCTGTGAGCGAGAGCAAGACATCCGTTTTGCATCTCAACTCGATTGAGGTAAGAGCCTCCACTGTGTCGCGTAGTTACTAATGTCGCAACCTTTTCTTCTGTTAAATGCCTCTCAGTCCATAGAAATTGTACTTCGTGATGTTTGGGCCCCTCATCTCCAGCACCATCAACTCTGATACAATCTATAGCTTTGTTATTCAACCAAGGAGCTAGTTCATCTTTACTCTGCAACATAGCTAAGTCCGCAGCATGTTGAGCAGGGTTTTTTACAATGAACCGGTTGTGCCTTTACTACCCCTACACATCTTTCACTTGTTGTAGCAGTGCCCAGGAACATTGCTGAGGTGGTTTGAATAACGGATGCATATTTATTAACATAATCTGTGCGCGTAGTTGTTTGGGCTGGTGAGTAAGTGATGTAGCCTTGTGTAATTTGAGTGTAAACGTTGTATCGAGCCTGAATCCTGCTTGGTCGTCCCGATTGAGTACAACCTTGTCCCGACCATCTTTAAGTTGTATGTAGTCTAATCCTTTATACAAAGCCGTGCTGTGATGTGCATCAGGGTTAAGTTTGATAGCAAAACCCTTTCTTGCTCTTCGCGAAGTAACCCGAGCAACCCCATGATATCTACTCGCTGATAACTTACGTTTGTTTCGCACTGTACAAAGTTGGACTACACTCCCATAGCCTATTTTTGTATCGTACTTCTCACAGAGATGTTTTTGGATTCGTCCATAGGTTACTTTAGGCCCTTTTCTCTGATTTCCATCAAAAGTAAAGACACCGGTACGTCGCCATTGGTCTGCCCCTACTCTCCTTTCCTCAACAAAATCTTCAATGTCTTTCCCAATATTTGGGAATTTGCAAAGTGTCTTGCACACCTTTCTTGGTACTTTTCTTTTCAGGATATGTCCGTTTGCGATCTCCTTAGCAATTTGCCTTCTCTTTTTTCTCTGAAATATTTTTCGCTGCCTTATTACAAGTTCCTTTCCTTTCTCACTGAGGACATTCTTTACACCAACCCAGTCATCAGGATTATCACTTTCTGAACTTGTTTCCACTCCTTCATTCTCCCGATCAAGAGTGCTATTTTCCTGTTGTATAGCCAAAAATGCTTGTCTGGATTGCTCAACTTTTTTCATATCCTCATCTGTTAGACCAGTGTTCCCCAGTTGTTGACCAAAGTCAAGTAGAATTTGGCGCAAAACATCAGGACTATAACTGAAGGACATCATTTCTAACTCTCCAACAAACAGAAACCAGTTCAAATTGTTCTTTTGTAGAATACAGACTAGTGTTTCAATTGATGGTAAATCCATTATCTTGTCAATATGGCATTCTGTTTTAATTGAGGTATCGTAATCGGCCATTACACTACACTGCCCTTTGTAAGTTGATACCTCTTCAAGATTTGAGTCACTTTCATCGCTAGACCAATCTACATACACATCTTGTTCAATGACATCATATTCAGAATCCTCTGAATCTTCCTCTTGTACATAGATGCCCAAAGCCTCCAGAGTAGCTTTCTCTTCTGCTTGTGCCAGTTCATTCACTGCATTCCGAATTTCTTCTGTTTGAGACAAAGCTGCTTCCACTTCTTCTTTAAGCTTGCTTAAATTGTGAACTCTGTATTGCTCTTTTGCTTTCTTTCCTGATAGACCTTTTGATTGGCAGGCAGCAACTTTGATAAGTTTTCTGTCCTTTTCAGTTGATGCCAGTGAACAAAGGGCCCGAAGCTGATCCTTGGAGAGGCCATTCGTAATACTGTTCAATGGAATAACTTTACCAAACCACTTGACGAAGACAGAGTAGTCCACAGATGGGTTATTTTCTGTGATAAACAGTCGCTGTGAACCTGGCCCACTTAGTTGTAAAGTAAACACCACTACAGGCATTTGCATCATTCTTCGAATAGCTTTGTTACTAATGTACTTCGACTGCTTGAAATTTTTGCGGAATACCTGTTGCAGTTCTACAACTCCATAGTTTAAAATGTCCTTGGCACAGTCCACGAGTTTGCTGCATTCATTGCAGTCCTTGCTATGATTTGCTTTACAATAAACTAATCGAAAATATGTGAACTCAACAAGTGAAACGCCATTTAGTAAAGACTTGTAGAAACCATCAGACACCTTATATACATCCTTGTTACTCAAGTATCTTTTGTTGTAGGTAGAGTACCTTTCATAGGCTTCTGTGCCTATAAGAGGTACTCCGTTTTCTCTAAAAAAGGAGTTTCGTCCTGGGTATTTTCAGAAGGAATATTTTCTTGCTTTTTTTCGGGCTGAACCTCTTGTTGATTTTCTTGTTGACCACTTGCTGGTTCTTCAAATCTGTCATCAACATTGTCTGGATTCTGCTCTGATTCGGTTTCCTCCACGACAATACTTTTCCTCTTTGTAACAGGCTGAACCTCTTGTTGTTTTTCTTGTTGACCACTTGATGTTGCTTCAACTCTGCCGTCATCATTGTCTGGACTCTGCTTTGATTCGGTTTCCTCCACGACAATACTTTTCCTCTTTGCAACAATACATAATTCATCGTTGTCAGGATGGTCAGGTGCTCTTCTTTTCAACATGACATCAATTTGCTTGCTAGATTTACCAGAATATCCATCTGTACTGCACTTTTGGCTTGTCTTCCGCTTGTAGGCTACCGATTTTGACTCTTTTCGTTGTAAGTTTGCCAATTCATTCTGCAGTTTCCGTTTCTTTATTCGCAGCTCAGATATCTGCTCTGTCAAGGTTATCGCCTGAGCATACTGCTTAACATTTGTCTGCTTAATTCGCTGTTTCTCACACAAATCTAACTGGAGATCAACCTCTTTAAGATCTTCATTTAACTCGTTTATTCTCTTGGTTCTTATTTCCTGAGATATTTTCTTAGGGGGTTTATCCTGCAGGTCTTGCCCAGCATTGGAAATCAACTTCGATCTCGACTTCTTTTTCTTGTAATTGTAGCCGTCGGAATCCAATTTGGCGATTGCGATCTTGAACATCTCTGATTTCTTGTAAACAAGACTGGGATCCTCTTTAGCCAGCTCAAAGCAAGCTTCATTAATAGCTTTGTGATAACTTAATAGCTTATCTTCCGGATTTAAGGAATAGATAGCGCTCCGCTTTCGTAGCTCATCACCATCTAATTATACGGTCACAGTCGAACTTTGGCATTGCTCATCGTTCAGCTAGAAACAGTGTACACTTACTAAGTTCATTATCAAACATTCGTTACTGGTAAATGTTTTAAAATATACAGTATGTTAGAAATAGAAAACGGGTCGCGTGTGTTTCTGGTGTGTTAATGCATGTGAGAGGAATGTCAGGAGAATACCAAGAAGCATGTAAAACACGAGGTGTAACCGAGCACTATAAATGCACGAGATGAGTTTTTCTGTTTCTTTTATGATATTAATACAGTAGAAGATATTACGTGGCAAGTAATATGTAATAAAGTACTATGTACTCCGTGACCTCACGTGTGCACGCTTTTACTGTTGTTTCAATGTTTGAGTGGGCAAAAGCAATACAAAATTATGATGTAAAAGTAATTGAGAAAACTGTTTAAAATCCAGTAAATAAATTAACTGTTTAAAAAGAAGGATTTGCCATAATTTTTGAAATTATTGTATTTTTTGTCTTTCGTTAAAAATGTATCTAGCAATTTTTATCAGAAGCATTGAAGGTACTTTCTAAATCACATTGGTTCAGTTTTTTTTTCCTTTTACTATGTTTTTGGTCAACCTGCAGGTATCTTTTCAAGTTTTCTTCTTGGCTATTTTGCACACTTTTCCCCAAAATCTGTTGAGACAACACCAAATTAGACAAATGCCAAGCCAGTTAATTTTGCACATTGAACTACAGAACAATTGCTTTGTTCCTTTGGACTTTCTGATAAATTTTGTATTTTAAGTACTCTATAGTTTTGTCTATATTTTGGTAAAAAAGGAAAAGATAAAACAGGAAAAAACACAGAAGGAACAAAACAGTACCACAGACTATAATAGTGCATTATCACATCACAATGCATGTATGTTTGCCAAAAAATTGCATGTTATATCCCACTTATATTATAGACTACTGGTAAAGACTACTGCAAGCACAGTACAACACTTACAGTTATTCGAGGTCCAACTTCAATTCTTCCCCTGTTCAGAACTAAAGTGGTTTGCTTTGATTTCAGTCCATTAGCTATCATTGAACTTTGATCTACAAGCAATAACGTAAAGAAACCATAATAAGAATGTATAATTATTGTAATGACTGCAGTATCAAGCTTAGAGAATAGAGAGAAATACAAGGAAAACTGGAAAAAACCTGTTACATACTTTTGACAACATTATTTGTAGTCTTTTCTTCCTCCTGCAAAAGTATATTAAAAAGTTAAAATTTCTTGGATAGTTGGATAACATAAACTGGGTCAGTTTTATATACACTGCAGTAGCCATATACATAAGATGTCTAGATTGCTGAATAATTTTTAGCAGACACATGGCTGGGATGATACATTAAGTATGATAATTATGTCAGATGAACAAGGCAATATTCTGTATACATAGGAAATCTACAGGGTAATCAATGTTTTGCATTTGTTGAATTTGCATCCTCCCAATCTTCAAATCATGAACTTGATATTAAACTGTATTGACAAGAACTAGGTACAGTAATGTAAAGGTCTTAGATGCAAACTGGACAATTTGGGATGAGTTATTGGAGGAAAATTTAGGTTGCCACCGTAATGATCACCTTTTGTTCATGGAAATCTTAGTTCTTTAAACTTTTTTGCTTCTAATTTTATGCAATATGTAGCTTAGTAATCTTAAAATTCTCTTAAATATTTATAATTTTTATTTATTATTATTTATAATTTTATTATACAAGGAAATCTACTTGCAGTTTTTTGAACTTATTCCAAAACTAGTAGCCTATGTACAGACAGCTAGAACCCGACAAAATGCACGACATAATTATGCCAGTGGATGGCTACCTTAGATTTAAATTAAATTTGCTATTATAGCAAATTGTATAAATAAAAATATGTATACACAAGTGTAAATATTTATAATATATCACAATATTTGAGTTTCAAATATTAATACCTTTTCTTTTGATGAAACATTTATAGTCTCTGTAACCAGGTAGATCTTGTCTTTACTCTTAACTTCGTCCAAATTTTCTACATCAATATTTTCGTTCCATGTTTGGTCAAACCGTTGGATATAAAAGTTTTGAGATGTATCCTCAATTTTAAAAATCCTTTTGGCTTCGTCAATAACGTCCGTTAACACTTGTGAAGGCTGTATGGTGTAAGATTTTTTGTGTTGTTTGTACTGAAGTAAAATCTGAAAAATATATTAATTTAAATTCCCATATATAATATATGTACATGTATTTATTTATAGAATACTATGAATATTCATTATGACAAATAGCTGTGGAAAATATCTGGTACAACTTAAATACTACTCATATTTTGACTGTTATTTCTTCCAGATTTATTTTTATAATAAGACATATTAGGATGGTTTGGAAAAACTACATAAATAAAACGATTTAAAAATAATTACTCACCTTTCTTTCCAGCTCCATGTCGTCCATATTTGCTTTCAAATCTCGGCTGACTCGGCACATTATTCGACACTAGAACCCATTCTTCCAGCGAAAACGAATCCCCGATATAAGCCCCGCCATAGTCCCCGGTACAGATACACATATCTAATACGGTCTAAATCCCCGTATACCGTGGCCGAAAATATG